ATTACCTCTTTATAATATTAGTATAGATAATTAACTTTGGTTATTTTATGTGCTTAACCATTTTTATATTTTTGTCAAATTCATTAATTAATATAAGTTTTACTATAAATCGTTTAAACTGTACAAATTACTTTTCTTGTTTTAATTATTACTAAAAATATACGTTCAAATGCAAATGTGAATTTACAGGTAATGGCACTGAAAAAGCAATATTGTCAGATGATTATAGAGTTAAATGCAAATTACCTTGTAGTAGCAGAACAACTTGTGAAAACTGTACAAAAGGTCCTTGCATGTGGTGCAGCAACCAACGTTTGTGCATTGAATCAAATGCGTATGCAGCTGTATTTGCCATTGCACAGTGTATGGAATGGACGACGACAAAATGGAAATGTCCTGGTATGTGTTCAATTTTTATATATTTTATTATAATAATTTAACAATCATTGCTGTTATTTGTTATCGGCAAGAAGAATTGGTAAAAGTGATGCTAAATTAAATAACCATTCTTCACTGATGATGATAATGATATCCATGCTTAAAGAATTTTACCATATGTTTATTAAACATACAAATTTTGTTTGTAGATGGGAAAACTTTTCCAGCTATTCTTTTTTATTAGTTCAAAATTAGCTCTTTCTAAATAAAATTTTAACCTGTCAAGTGTAATTTAAACTAAGATAAAAATCAATATGTAAACAGTCAAAAAAAAGCTAAGTTTTTAAAAATAGATGAAAACGGTTGTTGTATGAAAGTAGTTAAATGGTTGTTAGATTGAAATTGGAAGATAAAATGTTTAACAGCTTTTAATGGGCATTATTGTATATTGTATATTCATTGTAATTCTTTTTATGTATTTATTAGTGTAAAAATCGTTTTTGGCTTGTTTTGCTTGTACAGAAGGAAACCCAATGTGGAGGGAAATATTGTAATTTCCAAAATTCATCTAGGTAAAATAAAGTTGTTGTTGGATTGGAGATTATGGCATCTGTGGATGTGATAATTCCTAGCAAATTATGGATTTTGACTGTCTATATATTGATACTGAAGATATAGAATTGAAGCACAGTATAGATTACAGACCATAAGATAAACAAATTAACCACCAGTTTTCTGATAGGCTTGTTTGCAATGTCATATGAATGGTTTCATTGGACTAATTGAGATCTTATAATAGCAATAGTACACCCTGGACTACTAAATATAAATGATTCATGTCTCTAAAACACTATGATCTAGATAATTAAATTAAGGATATGTTAGAGGAGGATTTGTATCTATGTTTGATGCCATTAATAATTGTATGTCTTAGAAGTTATAGTTAGGTTAAACATAAATGAAATTAATTAAAAATTGTATAGAAAATAAGGATCACCAACTGCCATAGTGTACAGGATTACATACTTCATAAATTTCATCTGTGGCCATTTGGCAAACAATCTTGCAATTAAGGAAATTATGTAATTCTCTGTTGTTATTCTATCCAGATTAAGGGTTACAGAACTATCTGGTGCCATAAATTTAATGCTTAACTTGTAATTTCCAAACAAAACTCTGATTTGTCAAGTTCAATGAATATATCCTGTGCTGACAATTTGAGTATTTGTTAGAAATTATTTGTTCTTTTTAAATTACATGTATTATATTCAAGTGGTTAACATACTTGGAATTTAATAAATTTCAATTTATTAAATTCCAAGTATGTTAACCACTTGGGTTGGAATTTTTTAAATAATTATTACTAGTGTTTATTACTGTTAAATTATATTTTTAAATGTATTTTGTATTTACAGGATTATTATGTAAATATATTCAGACATGTGATGATTGTCAGAAAAATCCAAGATGTGGTTGGTGTGATAATGGAAGTGGAACAGGATTAGGGCAGTGTTACGATGGTTCTGATTTAGGTCCAATGACATTTAATGGTTCATCATATGTTCTAAATAATACTTTGTGTCCTTCAACACGTTGGCACTTTACATCGTGTCCTAGTTAGTATAAATATATTGTTTTGAATAAGTAACTCTATTAATTATTGCTATGAAATAGTTATGAATTTTATAACTCTAGAAGGTTTTTTTCAAATTCTTCAAAATAATTTATCACAATTAATGAAATTAAATTTGAATAATTAATTTTTTATTAGAATCTATATATATATAAAAATGAATGTATGTGTGTCTGTCCTTCATGCATTACCACACTGTTTATCCAAAACTTTGGGAAGTTGTTTAATATACTCCCACGAAGGTTTCTGGCATAGTACGATTGCCATTAAGCTTTGGGAAGTTTTTTAACGCAAAGGTTTCTGGCATAGTACATTTATCCTACGATAGATGACGCACGTGTATACGAGCATTTCACTGTGCGCAATCGATTTCAAATTGTGAAGACCATTTCCCCCTTCCAAAAAATATCTCCATATATGCATTTGTGAACTGTTATTTACGATATTTGTAATAATTTTNTACTGAAGATATAGAATTGAAGCACAGTATAGATTACAGACCATAAGATAAACAAATTAACCACCAGTTTTCTGATAGGCTTGTTTGCAATGTCATATGAATGGTTTCATTGGACTAATTGAGATCTTATAATAGCAATAGTACACCCTGGACTACTAAATATAAATGATTCATGTCTCTAAAACACTATGATCTAGATAATTAAATTAAGGATATGTTAGAGGAGGATTTGTATCTATGTTTGATGCCATTAATAATTGTATGTCTTAGAAGTTATAGTTAGGTTAAACATAAATGAAATTAATTAAAAATTGTATAGAAAATAAGGATCACCAACTGCCATAGTGTACAGGATTACATACTTCATAAATTTCATCTGTGGCCATTTGGCAAACAATCTTGCAATTAAGGAAATTATGTAATTCTCTGTTGTTATTCTATCCAGATTAAGGGTTACAGAACTATCTGGTGCCATAAATTTAATGCTTAACTTGTAATTTCCAAACAAAACTCTGATTTGTCAAGTTCAATGAATATATCCTGTGCTGACAATTTGAGTATTTGTTAGAAATTATTTGTTCTTTTTAAATTACATGTATTATATTCAAGTGGTTAACATACTTGGAATTTAATAAATTCCAATTTATTAAATTCCAAGTATGTTAACCACTTGGGTTGGAATTTTTTAAATAATTATTACTAGTGTTTATTACTGTTAAATTATATTTTTAAATGTATTTTGTATTTACAGGATTATTATGTAAATATATTCAGACATGTGATGATTGTCAGAAAAATCCAAGATGTGGTTGGTGTGATAATGGAAGTGGAACAGGATTAGGGCAGTGTTACGATGGTTCTGATTTAGGTCCAATGACATTTAATGGTTCATCATATGTTCTAAATAATACTTTGTGTCCTTCAACACGTTGGCACTTTACATCGTGTCCTAGTTAGTATAAATATATTGTTTTGAATAAGTAACTCTATTAATTATTGCTATGAAATAGTTATAAATTTTATAACTCTAGAAGGTTTTTTCAAATTCTTCAAAATAATTTATCACAATTAATGAAATTAAATTTGAATAATTAATTTTTTATTAAAATAATATATTTAAAATCCATTATGAACTACTTTCTGAATGAAATCTAGGTTAGTTTATTTTTAACATTGTAGCTGAATAAGCTAACATATATAAGATTTTTTTTTATTCCAATGAAACCGTGTTTTTTATTTACTTTTACTTTTCATAGACACAATGTAGTGACACTTTTTAAACACTTGGCAGATTATTCATCTTTTATTAGGTTGTGACGCTAATTACAAGGCGCATTTTGGGCTCCAGGCCCTCCTCAGCCAACTAAACAATAAAATCAAACATGTGAAGAATGTACGTATAAACACGCGAATTATAATTTGACAATGCACAAGAAACTATGCACAATATAGATATAACACATTCAAAAAACATACATTAAAAGTTTGATATGCGACAATTACATTTATACGGACAGCATACATAATGGATCATAGAATGAACAGACCGACAGATTTCGATGAGTTTTTTTTTTTTAATAACATTCGTCTAAATAAATCAAATTTACAGAAAGTATAACAACATCCGTTATGCCTGTAGTTTATATCTTGGCATATCACTTAAATTTACACAATGACTGTTGCTATTGTTACAGATAGGTCTCATGCACGACCATCACAGTGATGTAGCTGTGATGCACCTATAATGTCCAGTTGTGTTTTTCTGTTCTTATTGGTATTCTGTATTCAGTTATTAAAGATTTAAACATACTGTATCAAAGCCTGATGATTATATTAAAGCCAAATGATTACTGGATTAAATCAGGCTACATTACTGCTAAATTCTGGAAAAAAAGAATTGAACTTCAGTCGGACTCAAATCTGCATCTGCAGTTGGAATAACCGAAACGACATTTTGAAATGTTTTCCAGATGAAAATGAATAATAATGATAATAAGTTTCAATAAAAATTAAATTTAATTTTATCATAAAGAGTTTGCTTGAATTTCGTTTCTTCTGAGATTGCAGCAATGTGCGACGGGTAACCTAGTAATATCTGTAAAATCCATTATGAATACTTCCTGAATGAAATCTAGGTTAGCTTGTTTTTAACAATGTAGCTGAATACGCTAAAGTATATAAGATTATGTTTTTAGTTTTTAAAAGGAATAATCATTTATATTTTGTCAATAACTAATGCTAAATGTCAAGTACCATTTCATACCAAAATATTGAGTACAAAACTATTTATCACTGAGGAAATCAAATAATCGGTCACCCAATAAAGGTGACTCAGATGCATATTAATACAGATATATTACTCAATAAAATTCTTATAGGAATTTTAATATATTTTTATAGGCAAATGTGTATTAATTTATGTGACTTTTCATTTACTTTGTAAACAAATATATTACAAATTAGAAGTTTGATTTACACACATTTACTGATGAAAATGTTACGGAAAAGCTGATTTACTTTTATGTTAACATGTTGAAATGTCAGTTAAACTTTGAAAAAGAAAAATTTATTGGAATTGACATCATTGTTGTTCATAATATTTACTGCTCTATTTTCTGCTTTTTGCCAATGATTCACTCTGTGTGAACTAATCTAACATCTAAATGAAGATTTACTTTCTTGAAATATGCACATAAATCTTGAATTATCATTTATGAATTTTGAAAAAAATTATACTGTATATTTTTTGAAATCAGTCATTGAATTTAATTGAAAATGTCATATCAGAAGGCAGCATTAGGAATGTACATGTATGTTAATTTCAAAGAATGTAAAATGAAAAGATATAAAGATTGATTGTAGAGGTGAATTTTTTAATATAGTTACATACTATTACATAGTTAACATTTCAGTAGCCATCTTTAAGTGAAATAAATAAGTAAATCTAAGATTTATGCATGATAAATACCATATTTTGAAAAGTTAATTTAAAAATTACATATTTCAGATACCATATCAAAACTACCTTGAATATTTTGGGCAATAAAAAGTTGGTTATTTGGATATGAAACTTAAAATTCTTCATCCTGCACCTATGATTTCCAGTTGTGTTTTTCTCTTCTTATTGGCATTCTGTATTCAGTTATTAAAGATGTAAACATACTGTATCAAAGCCCGATGATTATATTAAAGCCAAATGATTACTGGATTAAATCAGGCTACATTACTGCTAAATTCTGAAAAAAAAAAAGAATTGAACTTCAGTCGGACTCAAATCTGCATCTGCAGTTGGAATTTGATTTCTGCTCTAGGTTGATTTTTTCTTTCAGAATTTTCTAAATTATTTAATAAATATTAATTTAATTATAATCTCTAAACATTTGACCTCATTTTCATTCCATTCTTTTGATATCTCAGTAATGATTAGAGCAGTGTTCAGTAATGCAGAATTCTTGCTAATTCTAATTAGGCATATGTTAAACTACTTAGGTAGTTAGTTGTGATCTTGGACTTGTTTCTAACCAATCTCTGATTGTCTACTTCTAGAATTTTAAGTAATTCAGTGAACATATTTTGTTCTGTGCTAAGATTTGCTAGTGGCATCCTTATTGTCTGTATTGCTCATTTCAAATATGGCTGTTCATGTTAGTATAAATGTATATAAACAGGTATCTCTTGATTCATGTGATTAATTAATTGCTCAATCCTACCATATATACATATATATACAGGGTGATTGGAAAATGTTTCGCCAAAATTTAAAGGCGGTTAGAGGGGATGAATATAAAAGGATTCGCACTACAATGCTTGTCTAGAAACACTGCGTGAAGGTGATAGAGGGCACTCTGTAGGGTAGTCGAAACAAGCTGGCAATATGAGAAGCTGTCATTCCCTGCTGTGATTTCATACAGCATGCAGCGCTTCACAAATGCTGTACAAAATGCAGCAGCAATGTGATGCTTGTATTATGGTTGGTGGTCGCTCTTTCAAGCATTTGCTGTGACATGTTAATAAAGGGCTTGTTACATTTGTTTGTCTCTCTTTCCTTTTATTTTTCCATTTTCTTTATTCTCCAGGACATTCATGCAGCATTTCCGGACAAGCTTTGTACTGCAAATCCTTTTATATTCGTCTCCTGTAACTCTCTTTAAATTTTGGCCAGACATTTTCCGATTACTCTGTATATCAAAATCGTGTTAATTAAATACACTGGAAGCTTGGCACTCAATTGAACAATAATAACCTACTAAAACAAAATTTTCAGTTAATAACAAATATTTTTATTTTAATTTTGTCATCTATAAGAAAAGTTTTCTATGATAAAAATGTGTAACTAATTTAAATAAAATGAAACATTAGAGCTATCTACCTTCATCAGATAAAA